GGCAGCGTGGACCCCCAGGGAGCTCCACCCGCTCCCCAGGGCCGGCTCCTCCTCCCGAGCTGCTCCCTCACGGCCCCTGGGGGGGCCTGGCGCGGGCCCCCCGGAGAGGCCGAGCCTGGCAGAGCGCCTCCCGCCGTGACCTCGGCCACGACGTGAGGGGAGTCTGGGGTGTGTGCCTCCTGCTGCTGCTCCCGCCTCCCCTCCCCCGCTTCCCTCGTCCTCGTCATCCTCCCCGAGGATGACGACAACAACGGACATGGCCACGACAGTCTGGGGTGTGTGTGTGCCTCCTGCTGCTCCTCCCGCCTCCCCTCCCCCGCTTCCCTCGTCCTCGTCATCCTCCTCGAAACGAATCCTCCTCCTCCTCCTCCTCCTCGTCCTCCTCCTCTGGACGATTCCTCCTTCTCGAGGATGACGACAACAGCGGACATGGCCACGACCACGGACACGACCCTGACAAAGACGGCCCGGCTACAAAGTCGAAGACGAAGCGACGACGACGACGACGACGACGACGGCGACGGCGACGACGACGACGACGACGACGACGACGACGACGACTGCCCCCTCCCCGAGGGTCGCTGGCGGTCCAGCCGCCCGCCGGCGCCTGGGCCTGGGCCCTGCCCGGCCTGGCCTGCCTCTCCCTCGCGGGCTGCGCCTGCGGCGTGCTGTACACGGCGGTCTGCGGGACCCCCCCGCCGAGGTGGCTGCCGCCGCCGCCGCCGGCGTCGTCGTCGGCGTCGCCGTCGCCGGCGTCGTCGTCGTCGTCGTCGTCGTCGTAGACGCCGTTTTCGTCTTCTCGGGGTCGTGTCCGTGGTCGTGGCCATGTTCGTTGTTGTCGTCATCCTCGTCTCGGCGGCGAGCGAGGGGGGGAAATGATAAGGAGAAGGCCTTCTCAGAAGGTTCGGAAGTTCCGTGTCCTTCTGAGAAGTTTTCTAAGCCTTCCCCGAAGACGAGCAAAAACTTCTCAGAAGACGCGATGGCTTCTGAGAAGCCCCGCCGCCTTCTGAGAAGGCCTTCTCCTTCTCATTTCCCCCCCTCGCTCGGGATGAGCTGGTCCTGGGGAGCGGGTGGAGATCCCCAGGGGTTCACGCTGCCAAAAAATCACGACGTAGGGGATCTGGGGAGGGAGGAGAGGGAAATGAGGAGGAGGAGAAGGAGGAGAAAGAGGAGGAGGATGACGGAGGAGGAGGAGCAGGAGGAGGAGGAGCAGGAGGAGGAGGAGGACCCGTGTAAACCCAAGACTCATCAACGATGTCGGAATGCACCCTCCCTCCAAGCTCCCTCCTCATAGGCCCTATACAAGGGGTTATCTCCAATGAGAAAATTGCCCTGCTGGGTGGGAACCGTGTGACAATCCTGAAGCGTGCCAAAACACCATTCTCAGGATTTCAACGCCACGAGTCAACCTGACTGTTGCGTCTTGACGATCCTGAATCGTGCCGGAAGACCATTACTGGGGTTTCAACACCGCGAATCAACGTAATTGTTGCGCCCTGACAGTCGCAAATCGCTCCAAAACGCAATTTCTGGTACGTTAACAATGAGAACCAGTAGGATTCTTACGATTTGTTCATACGACTGTGCGCGGCGCTCAAGCGAGAGCCACATTGCAAAAAGCACCCAGCCTCAATCCGTGAAGCCCTTGCATTTTTTACAACGTGGCCTCCAGAAACCGAGAATTTGAAGCAGCGTGCCGACATTTTGTTTTTGTTTTTGTTGTTGCTGTCTGTCTGTCTGTCTGTCTGTCTGTCTGTCTGTCTGTCTGTCTGTCTGTCTGTCTGTCTGTCTGTCTGTTTGTTGTTTTTGTTTGTTTGTGTGTGTGTGGCACCTAGTCACCTCTCGCAGTAATGGGAAGGGCGTCGGGTGTGCGCGGCACCTAACAAACTATCGCAGTACCCATCTTCCTCCTCTTCCTCCTCCTCCCTTTTCTCCTCCTCCTCCTCCTCTGTCCTCCTCCTTCTCCTCCTCCTCCTCGTCCTCCTCCTCCTCCTTCTCCTCCTCCTCCTCCTCCTCCTCCCTTCTCCTCTCTTCTCCTCCTCCTCCCTCCTCCTCTTCCTCCTCCTCCTCCTCGGCCACCCTTGCTTCCGCCACTTCCGGCCTTCGGCCCTGTGGCGTTCTGTTTTCTGTCGGTGGTGGTGCGCCTTGCCCGCCTCCCCTGGCGGCGTTCCCCTCCGCGGTGGTTCGTCAGTCCCCTCGTCCTCGTGGATCGCGGGGCTCGTTCGGTCGCTGTCGTCGGTCGTGGGCTCGGCCGCGTTGTGGGGTTCCCCGCCGTCGTCTCTCTGGGCTCCCCTCCTGCCTCTGCTCCTGCTTGCTCTCTCTCCGGGTCGTCCCCACCGTGGGGGTTTAACAGCTGTCGTGTTCTTTTCGGCACGCATGTTTGCGCGTCTCCTCGCGCCAGTTTATATACCTCCCCACTTGCCGATTCTTCCCCTCCCCAGTTTCGTCAGTGACGGTTTTGGCCAAGTAGGGTGTTTGGCCAGCCGTGCTCTGTTTGCTGTCGGAGGTGGCGCGGCGTTCCCGCCACCCCTGGCGGCGCTCCCCTCCGCGGTGGGTCTTCGGTCCCCTTCTCCTCCTCCTCCTCCTCCTCCTCCTCCTCCTCGTGCTCCCCCTTCTTCCGGGTCGTCCTATCCGCGGGGGGGTGAGCCTCCTCCGCATGCACGTCTGGAGGTCGCGGCTGGCGTGGTACGCCTCTTTTTCTTCTCCCTCCTCCTCCTCCTCCTCCTCCTCCTCCTCCTCCTCCTCCTCCTTGTCCCCCTTTCTTCCTCCCCTGCGGGACGTCTTTGGTCGAGGTGGTGACGACTAGACGTCGGTGCGTACAGCTCACCACGCGCCGTTACCTGTGCTGCTCGACTTACGGTCGGCGCACAGTTTATTGCTGCATCGGTACCCTTCGGCGCTGTTGTAGCCTTGTTTCGGCCAGCCCGGTCGTGCCACTGACACTGGCCTCGCTGGGCGGCGTGGCCACCCGCCAAGGATTTTACGGCACTGCTTCATTAGGCTGGTTTCGGCCCCGCATGGACATGCTTCTACATGTGTTGCGCGTCCCAACACCACCATATGTTGTTTTCCCTGTTCAGGGGCCGTGCCATGTCCTACGGTGCTGGGTCCGTAGGTTAGGCTTCGTTGGACCGTAGATATGTTCGGCGCGTTACCCCACCAATCTGCGGGTTTGGCAGCAATTGCAATTTCTTTTGCGGTTCACTGCTTAACACCGTCGTGTCAGTGATTCAGTGGTCGCCAATCCGCACCAGCCTGCTCGCGCTTCAGTGTACCTCGAGTTGACTTGCCTCCTCGGTTTTCTGGCCGCTGCTCGGCTCGCTGAGATGTGCAGCTCCTCCTTGCACCGCCCATCGCTGCGCTTCGCAGGGTGCACGCTTTGTGCACCCTGCCTTCGACAATGCTCGGTCGCAGTTGGCACTTCCCTCTGCCGCCCGCGCCCGAGGACCCTCTGCGCCGCGGGCTATAATTTTCCAGTCCGGCGGGCGGCGCGCACGAGAAACATCGGAAATTCGAATTCATACATTACCAGCGGCGTGCTGATTTTTCAATCCCTGGACTTGTTGAGGGTCAGGGACGACGTCGGGGTGGCGCGGTGTAGAGTTAGTTGTTTCCCCTTCTTCCTGGGGGGAAATGACGAACATGTGTACGCCGGCATCCCGTGTGCGCCAGGATCCGCTTTCCTGTGCGAGCTTTAGTGCAGGGCTGGAAAAGGCGTCGGTGTATGAAGCTCGGTTCCCTGAAAAGGGGCGGCGCGAGGACGGCGCAGGCCTCTTGAGCAGTCGAGGGGGGCTCCTCAGAAGGCAGGGGCTCCGGGCGGCCTCCTTCGAAGCCACAGGGCCTTCCCGCGACGGCTCGCCCCTGCCTTCCGCGGGGCCCCCAGGCTTTTCTCGGAGGGCCGCCGCCCTCGCGCCATCACCCTCGGGCGCGCCGCCACTCTCCTCGATCCTCCTCGGTTCTCTCCGATCCTTTTCCTTTTCCTCCTCCTCCTCCTCCTCCTCCTCCTCCTCCTCCTCCCCCTCCTCCTCCTCCTCCTGCCCCTCCTGCTCCTCCTCCTTCTCTTCTCTTCCTCCTCCCCCTTCTCCTGCTCCTCCTCCTTCTCTTTGTCCTCCTGCTCCTCCTCCTCCTCCTCTTCCTCCTCCTCCTTTTCCTCCTCCTTCTCTTCCTCCTCCTCCTCCTCCTCCCCCTCGGAGGTGATCGCCCGTTTCGTTGCTGTGGTGCCTTGCTGACGGATCGGCGACAGGCCCCCCGACGGCGGGGCCGACCGTTGGCGGGCTGTGGCTGGGCTGGGCGTCCGAGCCCGCGATCGACGACGAGCGTGCGCGTGGGGGTCGATGCTGCCCCCCTTTTCGCCCCCCCGCCCCCGCCCCATCGTCCCCCCCCCGACGCGCAGGCCACGCCAGAGGATTCACGTATCGGTCCCACCGACTCGGAGGGTTGGGCGCGTGGGCCACATCCGGCACACGGGCAGTCTGCGGCCCCTCGCTGTTTGAGTCGTGAAGAAGATCGCCCCTCTCGCCTTCGCCCCCCCCTCCCCCCCTCTCTTTGGCCCCCGCCCCTGCTTTCGCCCCCTCCCCCCCTGCCCCCCCCTCCTGCCCCCCTTTTCGCGCTTCCTTTTTTGCGCCCCTTGGCCCCTCGCCCCTGCCCCTCTCCGCCCCCCCCTTCTCCCCCCACCCCCTTTTCCCCCATCTTCAGTTCCCTTTTTTTTCCCCCCTGCCCCACCTTTTCTCCCCTTTCCCTTCTTTTCTCCTGCCCCACGTTTCCCCTCCCCCTCCCTTCCCGGCCCCCCCCCTCCCCTCCGTTTCCCCTCCTTTCTCCCCCCCCCCCTCCCCCCCCCGCCCCCCGCCCCTCGCGCCACCCTCGGAACCGGCGCGTGCCCCCCCCCCCCCCCCGCGCTGGTCGCCCCCTCCCCTTTCGGAGGAGGCGCCGGGCCCACGCGAAGGGGTCGGTGCAGGCGCGGCAGGGCTCGAGCCGGGCGCCGCGGGAGCAGGACAGTTTTGTGCGCGCGCGCGGGTGTGTGTGTGTGTGTGTGTGTGCGTGTGTCCGCCGCGGGCCCGCTGGCGGGGCCAGCCGCGCCACGCGCTCGGAGCGTGACCCGTCCCCCTGAGCGGCTCGCTCCTTCCGCCCCCTCGTTCGGCCGCCTCCTCCGCTTTTCCCCCTCCCTCCTGCATGGTGGCAGAGTTCGGTGCAACGGTGCCCGAATTGAGGTAGCCTCCCGCCAGCGCAGTTACTCTGCCTAGCCGCCGACGCAAAAAGTGTGGTCCGCCTGCACCGTGGTCTCATCCGCTCACTGCACCGCGCTCATATGGCTGCCGCCGGCTGCGGGACCCTAGGTGGCCTTTGAGAGTTCAACAGGGTGTAGGCGCGCACGTCCCGCCGTTTGCACTCGACTATCTATGCCCCGTCGCCGCGCGCGGGGCCGCGACGCCAGAACGTGTGCGTGTGTGTGTGTGTGTGTGTGTGTGTGTGTGTGTGGTGTGTGTGTGTGTGTGTGTGTGTGCGTGCGTGCGTGCGTTGCGTGGTGTGTGTGTGTGTGTGTGTGTGTGTTGTGTGTGTGTGTGTGTGTGTGTGTGTGTGTGTCGTTTGTGTTTGCGTTTTTTTTTTTTTTTGGTTTGTTGTTTTGTTTGTTTTGTTTTTTTTGTTGTTTTGTGTGTGTGTGTGTTGTTTTTTTGTGTGTATGCGTGCATGCGTGCGTGCGTGCGTGCGTGCGTGCGTGCGTGTGTGTGTGTGTGTTTGTGTTTTGTGTGTGTGTGTGCATGCGTGCGTGCGTGCGTGCGTGCGTGCGTGCGTGCGTGCGTGCGTGTGTGTGTGTGTGTGTGTGTGTGTGTGTTTGTGTTTCGGCTTCCCGTCTGCCAGTCGCCCTCCTGTGATGTTCCCGCCTTCTCCCCTACGTCCCTATCCGCTGCACCCGCGCTCCCCGCCCTGCCATGTCACTCGCCCCTCGCGGTCTCGCTTTTGCCGCCGCCGCTGCGCCTCGTTTTGTCCCGCCTGCACTGTAGGAGTTGGCCGTCCGTCTCCTTCTCGTCCTTTCCCCCGCGTTTCCATCCGCATCCCTGCCCAGGGTTTGCGTATGGCACGGTTGATCCTTCCAATGGGTGGGTCCTTGTAGTTAGCTTCTGAGTCGGATGGCCGCGCGAGTTTCCCGTTTTTCGCTCGTCGAGCTTCTGCGCTTCGAGGCTGCGCGCGAGGCCGCGGCGCCAAAACATATGTATGTTTGTTTGTGTGTTTGCGCTCCGGTTTGTCCGGGCCTTTCACCTGCGGAACCGCCCTGGTGGTTCCCGATTTGTCACCGCGTTGTGCAGGCATTCTCCCCCTTCTGCGCCTCTTCGATTGGCGCTGCATGCTCGTGCGTACATTTTTTTTGCAGTGGGCGTACAGTACCCCCCATCGACAATCTTTGGTGGTACTTCTCATTAGCGGGACCTCGCTAATCTGTCGCTGTGTTGGACCAGTCGGACGGAAGGAACAAGATGTGGTTGCGTGTGTTTTTCTGCACGCGATTGCCTCTTCCAGCCCGCCCACCTGCTACGCCAGGTGGAAATCGACAACTTATGCCCTGGCTTACTGATCGCGACGGTGCCGATTGTTCGCCACTGGGGGAACAAGTGTTTGTGTTCCTACGGTACGCCGTCGCGCGAGAGGCCGCGACGCCATTTTTTTTTTTTTTTTGTGTGTGTGTGTGTGTGTGCGTGTGCGTTTGAGCTTCGGCCCTCTGGGTCTTAACTGCCTCTGCATGCCTTCGGGTTTCGTCCGCGCCGCCGACCAAACTGGGTGCTTCTTGCTGCACGCCGACTTGCCCTGCGCTGTCCCCCACGTGCATCGCTTGGCGGCATTTCGTGTTCGATCGTGGTCCATTCTTGCGCTTGCGATGTTGCCGCCGTTTTTCTGGAGGAGTATCGGTGTGTGTGTGTGTGTGTGTGTTTGTTGTCGTCGTCGTTGTTGTTGATGTTGTTGTCGTTTCGTTTCGTTTCGTCGTTGTTGTTGTTGTTGTTGTTGTTGTTGTTGTTGTTGCCGTTGTCGTTGTGGTTGTTGTTGCTACTGCTGCTGCTGCTGTTGTTGTTATTGCTGCTGTTCTTGTTGTCGTTATCGTTGCTGTCGTTATTGTTGCTGTTGCTGTTGCTGTTGCTGTTGTTGTTGTTGTTGTTGTTGTTGTTGTTGTTGTTGTTGTTGTTGTTGTTGTTGTTGTGGTGGTGGTGGTGGTGGTGGTGGTGGTGGTGGTGGTGGTGGTTTGTGGTGGTGGTGGTGGTGGTGGTGGTGGTGGTGGTGTGTGTGTGTGTGTCTGTGTTTTGTTATCGCAACTTTTGTTAGTCGGTGGGGTTGGCGGCTGCTCCTGTAGCCCTCGGGCGGAGGGCCCTCGGCCTCCACGTCGCAGCCTTGGAGGGCGCAGGCCTCGCACACCGAGCTTCGCGGGCGTCCACGGCGTGCCTCCGCGCTCCCCCGGGCCTCGTCCGTGCCGCGCCCCCGTCGGCCACGGCTGGGTCCCCTCCTCGACATCCTGCTCGGCAGGCGCGCACGGGGCACCGCCTTCTTCCCCGCGGTGGTTCGGTATCGACTCACCGATCCCCATCTCTCCATCCCCATCCCCTTCGAGACCCCCACCAGGTTACCACCCCAATTTCTGGATACACCCCTCGGAACCCGAAGGGAACGACCTAGATCCCCATCCAGGGGGGGTAAATCGGCCAGTGGGGCCCAGGCCACGCCGCTGCGGATGGGGATCGGTGAAACGAGACAAAGTGGTGCAGCGCCCCTCGAGGCCGCGGCCAGGGGGCAGGGGCAGCAGCGCGAGCGGCGTGCAGGGCGGGACGCCTTCCACTGGAGCGTGCCGGGGGGGGGGGGCCCCACACCCCCCACGGATGGCGCAGGAGGGGCACTCCGTCGCGAGAGCTCGTCGCGGCGTGCAAGGGCCGGGCCCCGCTGTGCTCAGAGAGTGCGGAGGCCTTCTTCGGTTCATCCGCAGGTCACCCTCTGGCTCCTCGGAGAAGCCAGGAGGTACCCGTACCGCTGCTCCCGGGACCTCTCTTGGGGTGCGTCCCGGCCCGAATCTCGAGGCGAATCCAGCCGTGGCGACGTGGGCGTCCCAGGAGGCCCCATCAAGACGAAAAGAGGGAAGGGTAGCAGCATCGGTACCCTTCTCTTCGGATGCAACTCCTGGGAGGTCAAATTCTGACTTTGCCCAAGTCCGATATCCGGCTGAACCCGGCTCAATCCCGCTCAATCAGGCTGAGTCCCGCTCAATCTCAACCCGCGGCCTAATCTGGCGCAGCAGCCCCCCAATGGGGCTTGACTCTCCCTGATCCTTCCGACGAAGACCCCCCAGTAGTAGGGGAACAAAAAGTGACATAAACATAAAAACTCAGAGGTCCGCGCGGATTTCTCGGATCGGCGCTGGGGCCCCCCAGCGGCGCCTCCGGCGCCGCCTCTGGCGCGCTCCGCGCGCCAGGGAGGGGGGTTCAGCGCCGATCCGGGAAAATCCGCGCGGACCCCCGTGTTTTTATGTTCATGTCACTTTTGGTTCCCCTAAGTAGTTGCCTCCGAACTTTTCCTCCTCCGACACCTCACTGGGGGCGGCCCTGGCGCGCGCGAGCCGACGAGACAAAAAGAAAAAAATAAGCGCCGCGGCGTCGCGCCGTGCCCGCAGCTCCCCGGGCTGTGCCCTGCCGCGCGGCAGCCCGTGCCCATCGGGGAGGAGCCGTGGCTGCAGAGGCCGCGCTGGCCGCCGCCGCGGCCTCCCGTGGTCGTTGTCGTGGGCGTGGTCGTGGTCGTCTTGGTCGTGGTCGCGGTCGTCGTCGTCGTGGTCGTCGTCGTCGTCGTCGTCGTCGTCGTCGTCGTCGTCGTCGTCGTTCGTCGTTTGCGTGGTGGTGGTGGTGGCCGTCGTGGCCGTCGTGGCCGTCGTGGCCGTCGTCGTCGTCCTCCTCCTCCTCCGCCCCCTCCTTCTCCTCTTCTTGTTCCGCATCATCTTACTCCTCATGTCAGCACCAGCGTCAGCGTCAGCGTCAGCGTCAGCGTCAGCGTCATAATCAGACTAGTCATCCTCCTCCTCCTCCTCATCCTCCTCATCCTCATCCTCATCCTCCTCATTCTCCTCATTCTCATCTCCATCCTCATCCTCCTCATCCTCATCCTCATCCTCATCCTCATCTTTCTCATCATAATCATCATTGACATAATCTTCATAAGCATCATCATCATCAGCATCAACATCATCATCATCATCATCATCATCATCATCATCATCATCATCATCATCATCATACTCATCGTCATCATTGCTATCATCATCGTCATCAGCATCATCACCATCAGCATCACCTTCAACATCAAGATCAACATCACCACCATTCTCATCATCATAGTAACAACAATCATCTTCATTTCATCTTCTTAATCATCATCGTCACTACACCGCCATTATCATCCTCACCATCATCATCATCATCATCATCATCATCATCATCATCATAATCATCATAATCATCATCTTCATCATCATCATCACCATCATCCCCAACCATCGTCATCATCGTCGTCGTCGTCGCCGTCGTCGTCGTCGTCACCATCATCAGCACCATCATGATGATGATGATGATGATCATCATCATCATCATCATCATCTTCTTCTTCTTCTTTTTCGTCGTCGTCGTCGTCGTCGTCGTCGTCGTCGTCGTCCTTGTCGTCGTCGTCGGTCGGCGTCGTCGTCGTCGTCGTCGTCGTCGTCGTCGTCGGTCGGTCTGCGTCGGTCGGTCGGTCGGCGTCGGTCGGTCGGTCGGTCGGCGTCGTCGTCGTCGTCCTCGTCGCCGTCGTCGTCGGCGTCGTCGTCGTCGTCGGCGGCGGCGGCGGCGGCCGCGTTGTCGTCGTCGTCGTCGTCGTCGTCGTCGTCGTCGTCGTCGTCGTCGTCGTCGTCGTCGTCGTCGTCGCCGTCGCCGTCGAAGGCGCGCGCGCTGCGCCCCCGACGGTGCGGGCGTCGCCGCCCCCCGCGATGCGGCGGACGCCAGCGGCGGTGCGGACCTCGGCGCGGGCACCGCTTCACCGTCGCCGTCGCGGCCGCCGTGGCCGCCGTGGCCGCCGTGGCCGCCGTGGCCGCCGTGGCCGCCGTGGCCGTCGGTCGTCGGCGGCGTCGGCGCCGTCGTCGTCGTCGTCGTCGCCGCCGCCGTCGTCGTCGTCCTCGTCGCCGTCGCCGTGGCCGTCGGCATTCGTCATCCCCGCCGCCGCGGTCGTCGTCGTCCGCCCTGCCCCTCCGCCTGCCCCTCCGCCTCCTTCTCCTCCGTCTTCCTCTCCTCCGCCTTCTCCTCCGCCTGCTCTTCGCGTCCTCGCCGTTCCCTCTTCCTCCCGCCGCCCCGGAGGCCGTCAGAAGCCATACCCCCGGAGGGAGGGCGTCACGTCATCGGAGATCTGGGGTCCCCCAGAGCCCCCTCGCGCGGTGAAGGAAGCACGGCGGGGCGTTCTTCGCCGGTGTCGGCCCCTGGGGGCCTTCACCGGCCCTCGGGGCCGTCAAAGGACGGCTCGGGGGGAAAAAGCGACCCCGGGGACTGGGTCGACAACGCGCACGAGAGCGGCCCTTTGTCGGAGCGACCTTTGAGGAGGGCTCCTCGGGCCCCCCCCCGATGGCTGCGCGCGAGGACAGCAGCAGCCGCCTGCGCGCTTGGATTCGGCCACCCCACCTCGCGCCCCCGTGATCCGCGCACCAGAGTCGGGCCAGACGAACGGGGGTGGATAGGGAAAGGGGGGCTTACGGAACCTGCTGCAGGCAGCGGGTTTCGGCCCCACCGAGGGGCCCATTCCTCGACACGTGGCCGCCTCCGGCGCCGGGAGGCGCCGGGAAAAGCAGCGAGTGAGCTGATTCTGAAACTCCCCCCCCTGCCATCCCCCCCCTTTCGCCCGGCCCGACAGAGGTCACCTCTTGCCCAGGGCCACTCCTTGCGTGCAGCCGACACGGGTCCAGCCCGCTGGGGGTCCGCCCGCGTCGCGAAAACTTCACTCACCACCCACCAAGCCACCCCAACCCAACCCGAAGGACTCAATTTGCCCTCCATTTCCAGTGGGGGGGGGGGGGTCCGGGAACATCGAAAAAACGCACATGGAGCCCATACCCCCCCCCAACCCGAAATTCGGGTCTTCGGGTTGGGTTGGGGTGGTCTGGCTGGTACACCCTAGGCGATGCTTTAAGAAAACCTAAGTTTTCGTCCAGAGTCTCGATTATTCTTAACATTCCAATGTAAATCTCAAGATTTCAATAGAAATGTTGGGTTTTTATTCACTTTCTGAGACTATGAATTTCTTAACCCATGATTTCTTAAGCATTTCGCAGGGTGTAGTCACTCACGCAGGGCTCGTCTCGATTCCCCCGATTCGATTCGATTCGACTTCGATGGCTTCCGATTCCGATTCCATTCGACTTGGGATTCCGATGTGGGTTCCGATGTCTCACTGCAGGTATACTATTCTGCCGATTTTTGCCGATTCGACTCCTCCCGACTTGGCTGCCGATTTCTGCCGATCCGATGAATTTCGATCGCCGATTCGACTTGTCGATTCGATTCTGGGCCCTCCTGCTCACGGCGTCGGAGATCGGGGGTCCCCAGAGGTCCGGGCCCTCTTCCGCGGGCCTTGCCCTGCGCCGCGGGCCGTGCCCCGAGAAGGCCCCGGGGGCACGGCGGGGGCCCCCCGATCGGGGGCCGAGCAGGGCTCCTCCTCCTCCTCCTCCTCCGCCTCCTCCTCCTGCTCCGCCTCCTCACTCCCTCCTCTTCCTCCTCCTCCTCCTCCTCCTCCTCCGCCTCCTCCTCCTCCCCCTCCTCCTCCTCCTCCGCCTCCTCCTCCTGCTCCTCCTCCTCACTCCCTCCTCTTCCTCCTCCTCCTCCTCCTCCTCCTCCGCCTCCTCCTCCTCTCCTCTCCTCCTCCTCACTCCCTCCTCCTCCTCCGCCTCCGCCTCCTCACTCCCTCCTCCTCCTCCTCCTCCTCCGCCTCCGCCTCCGCCTCCTCCTCCTCCTCCTCCTCCTCCTCCCAGACCCAAATCTAGGAAACGACCCAAAGACCAGGGCCCCGAACTCCCTGGTCGTGCTCCTGCGCGGCGCGCGCGTGCCTCGTCGCCGAAGGTCTGTCTCTCGGGCGCTCCGCGGCCACCCGCGGCGAAGAGGGGGGTGGTCGGTGGACGGTGGGCGCGGGGCGCGTGCCGCCCTTTGCCTTTGGCCGGCTGCCGCTCGTCCGCCGCAGTCTGCCGCTGTTCCCAGACCTCCTCGAGTCGTGAAAAAATCACGACGGGAGGTTCTTCGCTATTTTCTGCCTCTGAGGGCCCTTACCGGGCCTCGGGACCGTCAAAAAACGACTCGGGATGAAAAACCGGTCCCGGGGAATGGGTCTGGACCTCTGGGGGTCGCGTCACGAAAAAATCATGACGTCGGGGGTCTGGGTTTGCCGCGAGTCCGCCGACATCTGGACCAAGATGGGCTTCCACAGAAGCGAACCCCGACATGCGACGTGCAGATGTTGTCACTGCGCGGCCCCCTGGAGCCCTCGGGACCGTTTTTGGTTCGTCCAGAGCCGTGTTCTGACGGTCCCGGGGCCCGGGGCGGGCCTCCGTGGAGGCCGAAGACGGCCAAAAGCCTCCGTCCTCCAGTTTTTAACGACGCGGTCATGCCGGGGAACGTACCCATCGGTCGTTGACAGTAGATCTTTTTGGACTCCCAGATTCCACTCTACTTTAAAAAAAAAGCCTTCCTCCTTCAGTGATCGAGCGGCTCCCCCTCTTCGCTCCTCCTCAGGGGGCGGGCGGACAACCAATCTGCTCTCGACGCCTTCCTACTCCATGCTCCTGCCTGCTCGCTTCCGACCGCTGGGCAACCTCCCACAGGGCATCCGCCCCACCGGCTTCTGGCTCGAGGCCTGCCCCGGCGGCCTGCCCCCCCGGCCAGCCGCGAACGAAGCCGCCCCGCCCCCGCCCCTCGCAGATCGCTGGATGCCGGCCCCTTTTGTGATCGGTCGCGACCGGCAGCGGCCGATCCGCACTCGAGATCGGTCGCGACCGATCGCGACCGATTCCCAAGTCGGTCGCGACCGATCGCGGCCGATGGGTCGCGACCGGTTCTGACGCAGAGCGGTCGCGACTGGTCCCGAGTCGTCTTTTGGCGGTCCCGAGGGCCGGCAAGGGCCCCCAGAGGCAGAAAGTAGCGCAGATCCTCCCGTCATGATTTTTTCACGGCCCGAGGGGCGTTCGTCAAGGAGTGTGCCTGGGAGGCTTCGGACCACGGAGGAGTCATCATCTGACGAGGGCGGCGGTGACATCCATGGCCAAGCCGCAACTGGTGTTCCACTGGCTACCAGGCCCTGGGTTCCTTCCTCCTCCTCCTCCTCCAGCCTCCTCCTCCTCCTCCTCCCTCCTCCTCCTTTCTCCTCCTCCTCCTCCTCCTCCTCCTGCTCCGCCTGAGATCCGACGTTGCGAAGAAAGGCGACATCGCAGGAATTCACGACCAGAGCCCCAGGCCGCATCTCTTTCTGCGCCGTTTTTCGCCCCGGATCGATCTGCGAGGGTCAAGGGGCCCGAACAAGACCTGGCAGGAAAGGCCCGGGGCGAACAAATTGCGCAACGCCCGGCAAGAAGGGCCCGGTGTGAAAAAGAGTTCCAGCGCCAGGGTCTGATGGTATCCGAGGGTTCCTTACCCAAGGCCCGCACCGTAGCGACCGATTATTCGAAGAAGAAGCAACCACATAAGCACGAACTTTTGGCGCTCCGCGCGGATTTCTTGGATCCGCGCCTGGGCTCCCCGGCGGCGCCTCCGGCGCCGCCCCTGGCGCGCGGAGCGCGCCAGGGAGGGGGGTCCAGCGCAGATCCAAGAAGTCCGCTCGGAGCGCCAAACAATTATGTTGATGCCGTTTCTGTGCTTCTTCTATCACCGTAGCGACCGATCTCGTCGGTCGCCAGCCACGCGCAGAGAGGGGCAGGGGCAGGGGGGAAGGCTTCTTGTAAGCACCCCTGCTTCCAAGCAGGCGCGGGCCTCCTAGATGCTGGGCCCGCGCCCTCTGGGAAGCCCCCCTGGTGCGCGCCGCCAAGCGTGAGCAGGAGCTGTCGACGCGAATCGGCGCCAGATCGGCGCGCTCTCATCGATCGCCAGGTGCTCCTCGGCGCCAGTGCGCTCCACGCTCGCGATCGCGAGGGCACGCGAGGCCCCCATGGCTTGCTGGCGAAGCAGCGGCACGAGCATGAGCTTCTTGGGGCGCGCCGCCAGTCGTCGGCCGCGTCCAGGGGAGTCCTGGCATCGAGTGATCAGGGGCGGTCCAACCGACCCCCCAACCAACCACCACCTTCCGTGGCGCCCCCCTCTCGCGTCGCACCAAGACGTGTGTGTGCGGCCCGAGGGGAGCTTGAGAGGCGAGGGGGGGCATCACGGAAGGGGATGCTTTGCTAGGGTCGGCGGCGAGCGAGGGGGGGAAGTGAGAAGGAGGAGACCTTCTCCGAAGGTGGCGGGGCTTCTCAGAAGCCCCCCGGCCCTCTGAGAAGTCTTCTGCGTCTTCGGGGAAGGCTCCGAACACTTTTCATTCTCAGAAGGCCAGAGGACCTCCGAGCCTGCTGAGAAGGCCCGCCCCTCCTCGCTTCCCCCCAGGCGCGCCGCCTATCCAGACCCCCGACGTCGTCCTCTTTTCACGACGTCGACCCCCCAAGAGTCCCGACCCATTCCCCGGGGCCGGCTTTCCGCCCCGAGCCGCTCTCTGGCGGTCACGGGGGCCGGCGGGGGCCCCCAGAGGGGCCGGCACTGGCGAGCAGCCTCCCGTCGTGATCTTTGGCAGGACCCGAGGGGTCCTCTGGGCCCCAGAGATCCGACGTCGTGATTTTTGCAATGCGGGGTCTCCGGAAGTCTCGACCCATTCCCCAGGACCGGTCATTCATCCTGAGTCGTTTTTTGACGGTCCCGGGGCCCGGCGAGGGCCGCTATAGAGGCCGAGAATCGAGAAAAACCTCCGTCTTGATTTTTTCAACGCGTTGGAGGTCTGGGGTCTGCAGGGGTCGCT